CGGGGGGCGGGGGAGGCGCTGTGGGCAGGGAGGGGCGATGCCCCCGCGGCCGCGGGCTCCCGCCTTACCTGCCCAGGATCTTGCTGACGCAGCCGTGGCTGACCCGCAGCTGCCTGGAAATGTCACAGGGTCGCACCCCCTGGTGAGCCAGCTCCACGATCCTTTGTCTCACCACGTCAGGTAGGGGCCTGCCGTTCACAAACACCCCCCCGAGCTGGTTCACACCCCCGTGCCCTGCTGGGGAAAGAAAGGAGAAAACAAAACAACCCACGCACACCAGAAACAGGCTGTTAGTCGGGGACACGTCGCCACCCGCGCGCGGCACACTGTCCAGGGACTGCGTAGGGATGGGGGCAGGGAAACGGGGCGAGGAGAGGGGGAGACAGGAGGGGAAAGAGGGACTGGAAAAGAGCCGGGGAAGAAAAAGAAAGAGAGGAAGGAAGAGGGAGGAGGGAAGGCGAAGGCAGCAGGCACCGGACACACCAGAGCCCAGAGAAATTCAGATTTGTCCCGGATTTTATGCCAAGCGGCGGGGCCCCCTCCCGCTGCCCACCCCGCCTGCCCCCAGCCACCGGCCGGGCCGCCTCGCCCACACGCTGGCTAAGCCGGGGTGAGGGCCAGCTGCCTTCGGGGCCACCCCCGGGCCCGACGTGGCCGCGGGGCCGGGGCCCGCCTGGCCCCCGCCCGGGGAGTCCGGAGCTGGTTCTCTCCCTGCCCCTCTCCGCCGTGCCTCCTTCGCCTCGGCCACTAGATTTCCTCCCCTCGGTTTTCTACCACATTGTCAGGGAAGCGCCCAAACCTCCCCCACCCCGCGGGGCTTCCACCGCCTAGAGCCTGAGGTCCCTTCATTTCGGGGGTAGGAGCAAATAAGAGAGAGAAAGAAAGGGGGAGCGAGGCAGAGAGAGAAGAAAGAGAGAAGGGGGAGAGAGGGGGGAGCAGGGCACAGAAGGAGAAGAATAAAGAGAGGGAGAAAGAGAGAAAAGGGGAAGAAAGAAAGAAAGAAAGAAAGAAAGAAAGAAGAAGGAAGGAGGGGGAAAAAGAAAAGAAGAAAGAAAGAAGAAAGACCTTTTTCTGGGTCCCGCAATCACTATGAGTTTAAAATGCAAAACCTCCCTCTCCCTTAGGAGCTTTTAATCTTTTAGGGGGAAATAATCGTTCAGGGGAGAAAAAAATAATGTCAGACTCGTCTTGCCTTTTTTTTTTTAATCTAGGCTTCAACTGCAGGGGAAATAAGATCTCCCCAGCGAAGCCCTTCGCAGACACATCCCCAGCCGCGCTGCCAGAGGATTCCCGCGTTATCTTTGAAAAAAAGAATCGGTCTCATTTAGGTAAAAATGGGGGGAAATGAGCTTTGCACCTGCTAAATGTTGGCGGGCAGGAACCAAGTGCCAAGAATAAAGGCAATCTCGCCTTCTGGAGCCTAGCAAAATAGGACGGAGGTTTGCAGCGTTTGCATCTAAGTGCCCTGGATTTGTTAGGATTTCGCCTTTTTCCTCCCGCGCGCGTGTGAATATCTGTTTATAGGCGGGTGCATCTTCCATGGCGAGCAGAAGGCTTATGGCCATCCCCACATCCTCCCGGCAGATAGAGATGTGGTGTGTGCGCGTGTTTGTGGACTGTATTAAAGCCTTCCTTTCACACTGAACTAACCTTCTGCAGCCTTCCCTGGAAAGAGACCTTAGTTCGTGTTTGCAGTTTGCTGAAAAATGATCTGTTTGTATTTTTGCTGAGTTTTTTTCTCCCCTGCTTTTGACACTGACTTATTGGCTCTGAACTTAGTGGAAACTCTCATTGCCCTGCGATCGATCCGAGCCTTGCCGCACAAATAGAGTTTTTTTCCTCACCCCCCTCCCACAGCAACCCTCCTCTAACACCTAAGAAATCCCCTGCCCGCGCCTGGATGCGAACCGCGGGCTGGAGTCACAGGCACCGGCTCTGGGGCCTGATTCGATTTGATACGACTCTGGAAGTCCTTTGTGAACAGGATTTGGGTTTTGGGTGGAGAAAGGAGTTTATATTCCCCCCTCCTTCTGCCCCCCGCCCTCCTCGGTTTGAGGTGTACGTTTATATGTTTTCTTCATTTGCCCAGACCACCTTCTGCACATGTTGCCTCTAAAGTTACAAGGCAGCAATTTCTTCAGCACCTTAGTGATAAATAATTCAAGGCACCTTTGATAACTCGCATTACAGAGTATTAACAGGCAGCAGATGCAAAAAAGATTAAAAAATTAATAATTCAAATTATTGCACTCCCTGCTTTCCCCCTTCCCTGGGCTTATTTTCATTTAGATCTGTCCTTTTCTAAATGCCAAATTTCTATAATAATCTAGGGGCACCGATATGCAACTCCTTTGTAAAAAGCCCATATTTTACTCTGTATATGTATATGGATGAGTGTATGGGGATATGACAGAAAATCAGCGCCTATGTGGATTATAACTGCTTTCTTAATTATATATATATATGTATATGTATATATGTGTGTGTGTGTGTGTGTATATATATATATATATATATATATAAAAAATCGGGACAAAATGGAATCAGGCTTTTTTTTAATTCGGCATAAAAATAAAATGTTCCCATATTTCATTTGGGTTTTCTCGAAATCATCGGCTGTGTTGTGAAATATTTCTATTGGTTATCTACATTTTTGACAAATTAGAATTAAATGCAGAAGCATTGCTATCCTTTAAAAAAGTCGCACCGGTGAAAACAAAATATTCCCCAGAGCTGCGAATATTTTCAGTGAGCAGACTCTGAAAAGAGCATTTTTCCCTCTAAGCAAAATCCCGTAGAAATCAGCGATTTGGAAAAAGGAAGCTAGCTACCTGCATCCAAGTCTTCCAATCTCCTCTGGAGCTTTCTATTTTTGTATTTCTTTTATTTGTTCATTTTCTTTTCGCAAAATCATTTTTTTAAAGAGGAATTTTATTTTATATCCTGCAAAAATCGGGGATTTCTATGGATCGGGCAGGGCGTGTCCTAAAAAGTTTCGGTGTCAGAAGTTACAAATTGCTCTTAATTATTCATTTTCTGGCTCAATATGGTCGCAAGCTCAGATTTACCATTTTCATTTATTTATTTTTAAATCCCCGAAATATTTCCTCTGCCTGCGGTTGACTCAAATGACTTGGAATTTCATTATGGCAATAATTGTCTTGGGTTTCTCCCTCCCTCTCTCTCTTTTTTTCCTGCTGCCCCCTCCTCCGACTGAAATAGGTTCAGAGGCTGAAAACATACAGCGAATCCACCTACTCGCCTATCAGGCTTGCGTTGATAATACACATCAGGGATTTGGTAAATAAAAAAAGGAAGGAGTCTTGCATGTGGACACCCAGCCCCGGGAAACGCCGCCTGTACCAGCAGTATCATTGTCCCTCTTTTAAAAGCAAGCTAATTTAAAAAAAAAATAAATCACCCCCACCTTCATGCTGCAGTCACGCCTTTCCTGCTGCTTCCAGCAAAAAAACAAAACAAAACCCCCAAATGACGGGGAAATTGTGGCGTTTATATATTTATAAATTTAAAAAAAAATCAGACTTTGACTGGGCTGGCCACGACCAGCCACGCAATTGAGCGGGGGAAATGATGGCAAACAGCAGCTGACGCCTAAGTGGGGAGAGCCGCGTCCTCCGAGGGGCAATTTGGAAAGTGCTTTTGGAGAGAGCTGGTGTGGGGCCGTCTCCCTCGGCACGCACGCCCCGCGCGGGCGCGCCCCGCAGCCCCGAGCCCCGCGTCCTCCCCCGGGCTCCGCCGAGGGCTAGCTAGGACCCGCGCGGCCG